GTAATATCGTTATACTTATGTACGGAATAAGTATTTATAAGATAAATACTTATAAAATTTTAAATTCCGCTGTAAACTCTGTTCCGTACGGTATATCGAACCCAACACAATTCTCGACCCGTTCAGCTTATGTCTCATTAACTACTATGGAGCGGACCCCTACTCGTCGGATTTGGAAATTGATTTGGAGCTGGGTGGGCCCACAACGGATTAAACAATTTCTATGGTTGGCTGCGAGTAAGAAGCTGCTGACTAACGAAGAGCGGCACCGGCGTCATCTGGTTGAGAGCTCGCTGTGCGAGGTGTGTAAGAAACAGCCGGAGACTATCCTCCATGTTTTACGCGATTGTGCACCCTCGACCTGGTATTGGAAAAAAGTTATTCCCCGCCCGCAATGGACTGATTTCTTTGGCTCAGACTTGGACTCGTGGTTGCAGGCGAATTTATCCTCCATGCCGAATGCTTCACATGAGGATTGGGAATGCTATTTTGGCGTCAGTTTGTGGAGGCTGTGGCATAATCGCAATGACTTTGTTTTTAATGGGCATGAGTCTGTGACAGCAAGAAGTATTAGTGATGTTCAGCGCTATGTGAAGACTTTGAAGGAAGCAGCATCTAGCAATTTGCAGCTTGGACATTGCCAGAACCTCCGCAAGGACAGACTGATTTGGTGGGAGCCGCCTGACCCGGGATGGATAAAAAGTAATTCAGATGGCGCGTTCAACACTACTACCGACATGGCAAGCGCGGGTGGTTTACTACGTGATCACAATGGTCGGTTTCTTGGGGGCTACATCATGAATGTGGGATTTAGTTCCATTATGGGGGCCGAATTATGGGGATTATTACAAGGCTTGTTGCTAGCTTGGGACTTGGGGTTTCGCCGAGTTATAGCTGATATAGATAGCAAGGTGGTGGCAGATGTGGTGAATGACCCGGGCGATATCGAAGGGGTGCATGGCAGCCTAGTCCGAGCTACGAAGGAGTTGATGAGACGTGAGTGGACTGTGATAATTCGACATGTTTACCGTGAATCTAATTTCGCGGCTGATTATTTGGCGTCACTAGCTACGACTAGTCCGGGTGGCCTTCAGCGCTTAGAATTTCCTCCGGCTGGCTTGAAG